GTCAAGACACACCGAGGTCAATTATAGCAGCAACAAATTCAGAACTTGCACACACTGTAAGAAGGTGTTCACTTGCAACAATCATCTGCATGAGCATATTTTAAGAAGACATCCCGAATTCATCGAAACAGTTACAAGCAAAATTCATCAATGTGAAATATGCTCTTATAAAACTGTGTACTCGACCACTTTGACTAAGCATATGTACAGACACAAAGCTCTCGATTTTGGCTCATGCGTATAAACGTCCTAAGGAAAGTTCTGGTTATATGTATGTCCAGCCCCAAAGTATTAAGAGATATACATGATACAATGACTTGCTTCTGATTGAAACGAAGTCATCGATATTTTTCTCTGAAATGAAAAGACGAAGAATAGCTACCATCTAAGCATACTAAAGGGTGATTTTTTCAAAAAAAAATTTGAAAAAACGATTAAATCTTTATTTGAGTCGATAGAACGGTCGATATAATTTAATGTTTAAAGATTATTTCATGTAAATGTTGGCCGCGGCTCCGCTTTAGATGGTCCATGCGCAAGGTCCAATTTTGGCACACTCTCTCCAACATATCGGCCGGTATCTCACGAATAAATGCTTCAATATCGGCTTCCAGTGCGTCAATCGTTGCTGGTTTATCCGTGTAGATATTATCCTTAACATAGCCCCACAAGAAATAGTCCAACGGCGTTAAATCACACGATCTAGGCGGCCAATTGACGGGCCGCAAACGTGAGATAAACTGTTCACCGAACTCGCCTCTCAATAGGGCCATTGTTTCGTGTGCGGTGTGGCATGTGGCACCGTCTTGTTGAAACCACATGTCAGCCAAATCCAGCTCTTCCATTTTGGGCAAAAAAAGTTTGTTATCATCGCACGGTGGCGCTCGCCATTCACAGTTACGTTCCGGCCATTGTCGTCTTTGAAGAAGTACGGCCCGATGATGCCACCGGCCCATAATCCACACCAAACAGTGATTTTTTCGGGATGCATTGGTAACTTTTGCAATGCTTCTGGCTGGTCTTCACTCCAGATGCGGCAATTTTGCTTGTTAACGTACCCATTCAACCAGAAATGAGCTTCGTCGCTGAACACAATTTTTCGATAAAAATGTGGATCTTCCTCCAACTTTGCTAGCGCCCATTCACCAAATTGGAAATGTTGTGGGAGGTCGTGTGGCTTCAATTCTTGCACCAGCTGTATCCTATAAGGTTTTACACCCAAATTCTGAGGCAAAATTTTCCATGTAGTGGAGTAACAGAGGCCCAATTGCTGCGAACGACGGCGAATCGACATTTCACGCTCATCACTAACACTGGCGGATACAGCCGCAATATTTTCTTCAGTCCTCACTCTACGTTTTCTTGTTGGTGGTTTAATGTCCAATAATGTAAACTGGGTTCGAAATTTAGACACAAGCTTCCGAATAACTCCCTCTCTACGCCGACCAAATTGCCCATAAATTGGAAGCAGTGCTCGATGCACTGTCTTAACCGAGCATAAATTTTGATAGTAAAATTCAATAATTTGCAAGCGTTGTTCGTTCGTAAGTCGATTCATGGTTAAATTATAGACCAAACTGAACAAGTTTGACAATGACACAAGACACGATTCACGCGTCATCTGTCAAAAACAGTGTTGCCAAAAAGATACTAGCAAAAAAATCACCCATTAGTTTTGTCCGTCTAACCACACAAAATCAGCCGTGGACAGATGCTTTGTGCTTTTTGGCAAATCATCAGCATCATCCAGGCCTGGCCTCAGGTCACGACTACGAACAAAAAAGCATAGCAACTAACCCCCTAGCTGAGGTACAAGATCTACCGAAACAAGACACTATAAGATGCCATCTATTCGCAGAATCGCAGTTTATGCTGGCTTAACAGTTAGTATGCTATATCGAAGCAGTAAAAGAAGACAAAGTAAAATTTATTCGTCAGACTTACTATTGTGTGTTTATAAAATATGTTCACATGAGAGAAGATCGACTTATGCGCTTTACTTAATGTAAGTACTCGAAGAACTGTTTAAAGTTTTTAGATATCAAAGTCAACCTAGTTGTGTATTGTACTTTAACACGTTGCCATGGAAACAAAATCGTCAATAAAAATTTTAACGCAAGATCTGTTGTTTTAATTGTTCTGTACAGGGAACTCGTTGCAACCGATAGCTCAACACTTGGTGAATTCTATGAGCTGCATTTTTCTATCGAACGTATAAAAGTTAGGCACAGGGTAATGTCGCAGCGCAATGGCAATCGGTCTTTCTGGACTTTTCACAGAGTAGCCGTCCGGAAATGCTTGTCAAGATATTTGGTGCCAACTCCACCATAGACTTCCTGCTACATATCAACAACATCCTTTCCTGTACGACCAATCCAATCCACTTTACTGATGACATCACTCTGCATGCGGAAGACAAGCCGGTGAGCTGGAAAGAAGAAGACTAGCTGCACGGCTGCTTCGGAGTAAAAAAAACAATGTGCGTGAAAGTGCTTCAGAAACTTTACCTTGACAAGAAGGTTAAGATGAGTAGCTAGGTATTTTACAGATCTGTTAAATTGGTAGATAAACGAGGTGTGTTCAAAAAGTATCGCGAATTTCATGTTTTTTCAAAAGTTATTTATTTATTCTGAATATATATTTTAGGCATTATACACTTGTGATAACGTTTTTTCCAGTCCTCGAAGCATTTTGAAAAATCGTTGTTGTGATCTCCTCCTTCGATGCCCTCTTTATCTCCTCAATCGTGACGTAGCGTCGTCATTTCATGGGCCTCTTCAGTGTCGGAAAAACTGACAGGGGACCAGGTCTGGGGAATACGGTGGGTGAGGCATTATTGGAGTGTTGTTTTTGGCCAAAAATTCGCGCACAAGTAACGATTCATGAGCAGGGGCGTTATCATGGTGCAAAAGACAATTTTTGTTCTTCTACAAATCCGGGCGTTTCTGGCCGATTCATATACTTATAAGAATCACTATATGCGCTGTCTTTTTGCTGTTCTTTTATGGATCGTTTCTGGAGCATCTCTACCAAGAGTCCAACAGTAGTCTGCAAGCATGGAAGGATTCCACTTTCCCTGGTACCTTTTTTCCATTGTTGAAATATCCTGATGAAAACGTTCGCCGTGCTCATCACTTACGGCTCCGCAATTGTCAGGAAAAAAGTCCAGGTGTGACTGTAGGAAATGTATCTTAAGAGACGTATTACAGCCCATCTTTTGATACGATGACAGCATATTTTTGAGAAGGGTTTTATAGTTGTCAGCTTTTCTATTTCCCAAGAAATTAGTGACCACCAGACGGAAATCATTCCAAGCAGTTTTTTCAATACCTGTTAAAGTGTTTTCAAACTGTGTATCTTTCAAAATATTTCGAATCTGTGGCCCAACAAAAATACCTTCTTTAACCTTTGCCTCACTTAGTCTTGGAAATTTCTGACGCAGGTATTGAAAAGCTGACCCATCTCTATCTAATGCCTTGACAAAGTTTTTCATTAGGCCCAACTTGATATGCAGTGGTGGTAATAAATTTTTTTTCGAATCTACTAATGGCATATGCTGTACATTTTTTTGACCTGGCTCTAGGAATTGACGAACAGGCCAGTTTTGTCTGGTGTAATGAAGTGCCTTTGCCCGACTGTCCCATTCACACAAAAAACAGCAAAACTTTGTGTAGCCTAGCTGCAGCCCAAGTAAAAGTGCAACAACTTTCAAATCGCCACAAATATGCCATTGGTGCTCATCGTATTTTATGCATGTCAATAGGTACTTCATATTGTCATATGATTCTTTCATGTGAACTGCATACCCTACAGGAAGAGATGGTAAAATATTTCCAATATGCAATAACACTGCCTTTAAACTCAATGTTGAACTGTCTATAAACAATCTCCATTCTTCTGGGTTATAGTTTATATTTAAAGCCGCCAGTAAGCCGTTAATGTTACTGCAGAAAACCAAGTTATTCTCCATATTGAAAAATGGTTCTAAGTCTTTGTGGCGTTTACGAAAAACACGTACCGAAACATCGTCTTCTAAGAAGTTCCACTGCTGCAGTCTTGATCCAAGTAACTCGGCCTTACATTTTGGAAGTGCTAAATCTCTTACAAGATCATTTAATTCTGGCTGTGTTATTTTGTGCGGTTGGTGGCATGACGTGCTCGGTATAAAATCAGGATCTCTTGACGTTGATAGCATATCTTCTTCCTGACGAATGACTCGATCGCCATGATCTGATTCGTTTTCTGATTCGCAAGTGTAGGATTCTGGGGGTTTAGGAATAGGATTTTCCTCACTGTGAGGCACAGGTCTCATCGCAGAAGGTATGTTTGGGTAGTTAATAACCGATTTTTTTTTCTTGGACATACCTGTGGCTTGTCCAACACAAGGTACCATGCAAAAGTAACAATCATTAATATGATTTGTAGGCTCTCTCCAAACCATTGGGACAGCAAAGCGCATAGACCGTTTTTTGGCATTTAACCAGATCCTCAGACTTGAAGCACATGTGTTACAGCAGATGTGGGGTGCCCACTGTTTGTCTTGATCACCTAGTTTACAAACGAAATAAAGCTGATATGCCTTTGTTATTAGTGGAGTAATAGACCGTCTCTGAGACGTAAAAGTCACATCACCACACACGTAACAAAACTGAGGAAAAAATGGCTAATATAAAACAATATAATGTACACGTATGTATAACGTAACACAATCATGCCGATTACATCATCTTTCCTTGCCGAATATAAAAATTTAGCACGTGCATTCTTGTGAATTACAGTATATTAACACTGTCACAGCAGGAACACATAATTACCGTATCTCTAAAACGTGAACTAATATTGGATTTAGCACATTAAAAATAGTAATATTTTGTTGATTTTATTTAGGATATTTTTTGGCTGTTGATCAGTGAAATCGAACATACGTAGCGAAAATTCAAAATTTGCGATACTTCTTGAACATACCTCGTATAAAATCGTTTAACTCACATTCTTTTCAGTACGAAGGAAAAGGATAGCAAGAAGAAGTATAAACCACGCGCTTCGATGAAGGTTCAGAAGCTGAAATTGGTCGTGCCACCACCAAAACTGGAAGAACCGCTCAAGTGTCAGATTTGTAGGGAACATTTTCATAACAATCTCGACTTTGCCTTCCATTCCAAAATGCACAACGAAGACAACGCGTACACCTGCCATCTATGCGACTACAGAAATCTCAACAAAAATCTACTCGAAACCCATGTGAGATCGCATGATGGTTAGTATGAGATATTACGAGGGATGTCTTTTAAGTTTTGCATATAGAAACATACAACATCGAAAATTGGTTCAAGCGCATGCAGATGTGTATTAATCTTCGTGGAGAATACTTCGAAAAACAATAAAGTCATTTAAAACTACCTACCGTGTTGTTTTATTTCCACATGCAAAACTTAAAAGACATCCCTCGTACATCGAGTAGATCGTCTCTACCTGAATTTACTCTTTCAGGCATCAAAAAATACAAATGTGATTTATGCCCTAAGGACTTCAGGAGATTTAGAGACGCCACAGAACACAAATTATCTCACAATAACGCACAGCCGCACTTTCAATGCGAGATCTGCGGCAAAAACTTTTCTCTGTCCAGACGTCTGGCTCAGCATAGAATGACCACCCACTACGAGAAGGTGACTGGAAAGAAACTGGACAAATTTGACTGCAAGATTTGCAACAAGCACTACGCGTTCAAGACCGGTTTGATCAGGCATAACTCGGTGCATCACAAGGAACTGGGACAGGATTGTTCGGTAAGTTGGTTGGTCTGTTCACTTCTGAAACCACACAGCGCTAGAGAATGTTTTCGACTGTCCCAAAATGAATTCCCTTGAGATGATTTTTCAACTTCGGGAAGAGAAAAAAATCACAAGGACTCAAATCAGGCGAGTAAGGAGGCTGGGGAGCCACAAAAATGCTTTAACTGGCCAAAAACTCGTATTACTGATTACTCGTGATGACAGTTGTTATTGATCTGATGAACGGTGGTGTGTGTCAAATTTTACATTTCCCTGATCATCCTGACTGTCAACGGACAATCTGAATGCAAAAAATGCTACGGACAAGCAAACGACTCGAGCGAGTTCAAACTTGTACTGATCGTGGATCGCATGTTGTCCTGTCTCCCCACCGGCGCCTCCAGTGTTGCCCGACCAAACGCTACGACTCTCGTTACTTAATTTACAGACCTCGTATGTAATATATTCTAGGTGGTTTGCGACCAGTGCGGCAAGCGTATAGCAACGAAAGACAAGCTGAAATACCATCTGCGTATCCATACAGGTGATAAGCCGTTCAGTTGCAAATACTGCGACAAGGGTTTCGTGAAGAAACAGGAAATGAAGATCCACGAAAGGGTGCATACAGGCGAAAAGCCGTTCACTTGTCAGTATTGTGAGAAAAAGTTTGCTCAACTTGCTCCGTTCAAGTACCACGTCAAGATACATACCGGGGAGACGACGCACTTTTGTAAGCTGTGTAATAAGGGATTTATTTCGAATAGCAACATGAAGAGCCATATGAAGAACTGCGTGCCTTCCAGATTATCTGATGAATGTAAATAAAAATGATGTTTTTTTGAGTAAAATGTGTTTTCTTAATTTAGTGAATTTACAGCAAATTTGTTAAAGGATTTGACTACAGCGCCAACTTGTTACAAATTCGTCAGCCACTCACAATAAAACCATATCCAAATCCAAAATCTTTACTACCATATAGACAATTCAAAATTGTATTAGAATTATCAATACTATAATTCAAATTTCCACTAATTTTAAATTACAATGATCAAAAACTATGGTTACGAGTTTTTCCTAAAAGCATTTGTCTATCAAAAACTGCTTTAATTGAGGTTTGGTAGATTCACTGATCAACAGCCAAAAAATATCCTAAATAAAATCAACAAAATATTACTATTTTTAATGTGCTAAAACCGGAATGAAACTTATTTTTTCAATGTTAGTTCAAGTTTAAGAGATACGGTAATTATATGTGTTCCTGCTGTGACAGTGTTAATATACTGTAATTCACAAGAATGCACGTGCTACATTTTTATATTCGGCAAGGAAAGATGATGTAATCGGCATGATTGTGTTACGTTATACATACGTGTACATTATATTGTTTTATATTAGCCATTTTTTCCTCAGTTGGCTGACAGCGTTCATGCAAGATGTCTCGAAAGTGTGTAAACAATCCAGATCAGTTTTGTTACGTGTGTGGTGATGTGACTTTTGCGTCTCAGAGACGGTCTATTACTCCACTAATAACAAAGGCATATCAGCTTTATTTCGGTTGTAAACTAGGTGATCAAGACAAACAGTGGACACCCCACATCTGCTGTAATACATGTGCTTCAAGTCTGAGGAGCTGGTTAAATGGCAAAAAACGGTCTATGCGTTTTGCTGTCCCAATGGTTTGGAGAGAGCCTACAAATCATATTAATGATTGTTACTTTTGCATGGTACCTTGTGTTGGACAAGCCACAGGTATGTCCAAGAAAAAAAAAATCGGTTATTAACTACCCAAACATACCATCTGCGATGAGACCTGTGCCTCACAGTGACGAAAATCCTATTCCAAAACCCCCAGAATCCTACACTTGCGAATCAGAAAACGAATCAGATCATGGCAATCGAGTGATTCGTCAGGAAGAAGAAATGCCATCAACGTCAAGAGATCCTGATTTTATACCGAGCACGTCATGCCACCAACCGCACAAAATAACACAGTCAGAATTAAATGATCTTGTAAGAGATTTAGAACTTCCAAAATGTAAGGCAGAGTTACTTGGATCAAGACTGCAGTAGTGGAACTTGTTAGAAGACGATGTTTCGGTATGTGTTTTTCGTAAACGCCACAAAGACATAGAACCATTTTTCAATATGGAGAATAACTTGGTTTTCTGCAGTAACATTAACAGCTTACTGGCGGCTTTAAATATAGACTATAACCCAGAAGATTGGAGATTGTTTATAGACAGTTCAACATTGAGTTTAAAGGCAGTGTTATTGCATATTGGAAATATTTTACCATCTCTTCCTGTAGGGTATGCAGTTCACATGAAAGAATCATATGACAATATGAAGTACCTATTGACATGCATAAAATACGATGAGCACCAATGGCATATTTGTGGCGAGTTGAAAGTTGTTGCACTTTTACTTGGGCTGCAGCTAGGCTACACAAAGTTTTGCTGTTTTTTGTGTGAATGGGACAGTCGGGCAAAGGCACTTCATTACACCAGACAAAACTGGCCTGTTCGTCAGTTCCTAGAGCCAGGTCAAAAAAATGTGCAGCATATGCCATTAGTAGATTCGAAAAAAATTTTATTACCACCACTGCATATCAAGTTGGGCCTAATGAAAAACTTTCTCAAGGCATTAGATAGAGATGGGTCAGCTTTTCAATACCTGCGTCAGAAATTTCCAACACTAAGTGAGGCAAAGGTTAAAGAAGGTATTTTTGTTGGGCCACAGATTCGAAATATTTTGAAATATACACAGTTTGAAAACACTTTAACAGGTATTGAAAAAACTGCTTGGAATGATTTCCGTCCGGTGGTCACTAATTTCTTGGGAAATAGAAAAGCTGACAACTATAAAACCCTTGTCAAAAATATGCTGTCATCGTATCAAAAGATGGTCTGTAATATGTCTCTTAAGATACATTTCCTACACTCACACCTGGACTTTTTTCCTGACAATTGCGGAGCGTAAGTGATGAGCACAGCAAACGTTTTCATCAGGATATTTCAACAATGGATAAAAGGTACCAGGGAAAGTGGAATCCTTCCATGCTTGCAGACTACTGTTGGACTCTTGGTAGAGATGCTCCAGAAACGATCCATAAAAGAACAGCAAAAAGACAGCGCATATAGTGATTCTTATAAGTATATGAATCTTGTTACTTTTTTTAATATATCCTTAAAAATAAAAAGTTTTTTTTTCTAAACCGCAACTATTTTTTTTATTTCATTGTCATTTTTGGATTCAGCGCCCCAAAATTAACAAAGAAGTGCACTTTTCCCACAAGATACAATTAAAAAACTAAAATTTGTTGTCCAGTATAAGAAGAGGATCAATTTTGTTAGGTTATCGAATTTCCGCCTTTGATTTGCTAAAGTTTACATATAAATTATTACTGGTCCTTGCATCATAAATACGCATAGCACAGTTTCGTTTAAATTTATCATTATTTTTAAACATATAAGCACACTGCATATACAGGGTGGCCCATCCATGTGTGGACGGAGTATTACTCATAAACAAATACATTTTGGGTAAATCTATTTATGGCATGTTGTACATGACATTTGAGGGCACATTTCTAAAATATTTTCAATTATACAGGGTGTCCCAATTTTGACATATTAAAGTTTTGATTTTTTGAATGGAGTGCCTCAAATTTTATTGCATATTTGAATAAACCAATTCAAAAGAAGAAAATTGATATAACATACTATGGGGCTTTGGTAATTAGCTACTAAGATGTAAGGTGCTTTGTCGTCAATCCGCCATTTTGAAATTTGTATCAAAAAAAAAACTTACAGGTTTCAGCTTTTATCTTATTCGTTCCTTTTTCAAATTTTCATTTTTGCTCATACAGGGTGGCCAAAAACGCGAATTGTACTTTTTATAAGCTTTTTTTGGTATGAGGTTTTTGGTTATTAAGATTTTAATAGAACCACAGACCAAAATTAATGAAAAAAATCGCATGATTCATAGAAACAAAAGACAAACAGTGGGCTAGTTCCATATTGCCACTAAGAGTATAGATTTGATGTAAAAATTAATAACAATCAGAACAGTATACAGGGTGTCCGCAAATTTGGGGTTTTCCTTTACACGACGTGTAGATCTTGAAAACATAAACAATTTTTCTTAGTACCATATACACCAATGTCTTAAGGGAACCGAGATAAAGGGCTCTGCAACATCAAAAATATCTGAAAACCGCCCTGTAGCCGCGACATCCCCCAGTGGTACTAGGACACTAGCTCAACCCGACGACAGAACTGGGTCAGGGTCAGTGTGTCAGGTCAGTATGCAACCTTCAACCGACGGTTACGGTCACGCGTGTAGAGATAATCGCGTAGTGAATCCCTCAACAAGCACTACAGACGTGGCTAGAGAAGTGCAAATATCAAAAACTAAAGTGTGGCAAACGCTGCGTGAAGGGGGGCTGTATCCGTTTCACGTCCAACGTGTACAAGCCCTTCAACCTGACGATTTTCCAGCAAGAGTGCGGTTTTGTGAGAGGTTGTTGCATTAACATGACAATAATCCGGACTTTTTGAAGTGCATATTGGTGACAGACGAATCTACGTTCCAGCATAATGGGGTGAATAACTTTCGCAACACTCATGTTGGGTCAGTAGAAAATCCGCACGCTGTCCGTCGGGCACATTTTCAACAAACATTTTCGGTGAATGTTTGGGCTGGCATGGTGAACCTAGACCTAGACTTTTTACGCAACATTTTGCCTTCCTTGTTTGGCTGCGTCTGCTCGGTAGCGCATCAGCTGATTTCATTTTCTGTTGGAGCGGTATGATTTCGGGCAGAGACGTACTTAGCCCTTCTCGTCAACTGGAGAGTGAGTACCTTTTCCTTTATTTTTTTTTACTTGGTCGCCCTCGTTTCACTACACATTACCTTTGTTATTTCAAGGGTAGTTGTTTCTGAAAAGGGAAACCCCAATTTTGCCCTGTATATCAGCTTCAAGCGTAATAGAGAAAAACAACTATAACAACAACATAAACAAACAACTATCACTACTCAAGACCTAATCTACAAAATCTGCTCTAAAATATCTCCACCATGTTAAATACACAGCCGTGATCTTTGGATAAATCACCCTTACACATCCCTCAGCATGTGTTCCCTTATATTCAGAAAAGCATCCTTAATCCTTTCCTTCATATTTTTCGGGATAGATGGTGGATATTTATAAACCTCTTGCTCAACGGAGCCCCATAGAAAGAAGTCCATCGGTGTCATATCTGGTGATCTAGGAGGCCAAGATATAGGCCCATCACAACCGATCCAACGATTGTTACCATTTAAGTAATTAAGTAATGAGATCAGCATGTGTGCAGCTTGAAAAAGTCCAAACTGAAGTTGGAAAAATAATCAATACTAAATAAATCTACAACAAACAAATTTGGTATGTGATTTTTGACCCTTACTTTACCCCATCACTAACATTTCCTTATTTTAGGCGCAAGAAGAAGCGTTTCAAAGTCGAGTCATTGCAAGACCACGAAATCGACGAGGAAAAAACTCGACTAACCAACCTTTTCAAAGACGAAATAATCAAATGCAAAGATTGCACGTTAAACTTCAACAATCACAAGGAGCTCGCCTATCATTCCAAAACGCACAACGACACTTACATCTGTCATATGTGCACTTACAGCGCCAACTCAAAAGGGCGGATAGCCAAGCATATCCTTGGACACAGGCGGTATAAATGCCAAGTTTGCGGGAAGATCTTCAAGAATCCTTTGGTCGCTTTGAAGCATTCGGATAAGCATGTGAACAGGGTAATGTTCCAATGCGAAATTTGCGGTAGGAAGCTGTCGAGTACAAAAAGCTTGGACATGCATATGAACACGATACACCACGAGCTGATGACGGGTATGCCATTGTCAAAGTACGATTGTCCGCTTTGCAAAAAACACTACGAATCTGAGACAGGTCTCAGAAGACATTACTCTAGTCAACATAAGGAAATGGGAGTAGACCTCACTGTAGTATGTGAAATGTGCGGGAAGAGGATCTCGAACAGAACGAGATTGGTGAGACACATGAGGACCCATACAGGTCAAAAGCCATTTCCATGTGAAGTTTGCGGCAGAGGTTTTGCTAGTAAATGCTTGGTTACTTCTCATATGAGAGTCCACACTGGGGAGAAACCATACGTCTGTGCGTATTGTGGTAAAAGGTTTGGGCAGTCCGCTCCGTATAGATACCATGTGAAAATACATACAGGGGAGAAGAAGTATGTTTGTACGCTCTGTGGGAAAGGGTTTATTTCCAATAGCAATCTGAAAATTCATATGAAAACTTGTTTCAAGCACCCTAAATAAAATGTCTTGATGTGGGACAAAATGTGCAATTTTGATTAAAAAATCAGAGAGTTTAAATCCATTTTCTGGTTACCCTGAATTTAAAAATAACAATCTAGTCTGTAAACAATGTTATCTGATTTTGTGCAAGTATTGATTTTGATATTCTAAGGTCCGCAGTTCTAATTGATCTGTAATACAGTATTTAATAAAGTTACTATAAACCTATTCATCGTCATTTCTTGTGTTTTCCATCAAAATAAATATCCGCAGGTCAGAGATATCTGGGTTAGCGTTTTTTTACAAATCCAAGGCTTACCATTTCCAAAAGTTCTTGGTCACATACGTTCTGTGGTGATAGTCAATTTTTCACAGAAATTGACAGATACTATGACGTCATTTTTTGTGTATCATAGGATATGATGAAAAAATTTTGATGTACAAAATTAGGGGTGGGAGGTCGTAAGGGTTTGGGAAAGGAAAAAGTTGTATGGACCGGTTTGACTGACTTGATACAGGGTTTAATTTGTGCTGTGTAAGAGAATCTCGAACAAAACGAGATACATAGATAGATTGATAGAATGCTTTATTTGTGTGAGCCTGTAAATAGGATACAAAACATCAAAGTAAAAAGAAAAGATGTGGATAACTAATACGTGACATGAAAGAATTGTGATACAGAAACACATATAAAATTAACGTATTACTCGCACAAAACTTAATTGGTACTATAAAATGCCTTATTTAGTAAGAGGTTCCGAAGTTTACTTTTGAACAAAGATAAGCTGGTAATCTGCTTAATATCTAAAGCCAATTTATTATTTAGTAATTTGAATATGAATATGGGTATTATATCTAGTATTGTAAGCGTGTATTTCACTGCGCTGGGGGAATAAATCTGTGTGTTCTTTAACAAATAAAGTATGACTCGTAGATCAGTAATGACGGTAATGTTAAAATTTTATTCTCTTTAAATACTGGTCTACAGCTGTCCAGTGGGTTGATACCAAATACTAATCTAATCAGACTCTTTTGCAATACGAATATTCTCTGTATGGCACAAGAAATGCCCCAATATATAACCAAGTACTTCATGTGACAGTACGCGATTGCAAAATAAGTATTAAGGAGACACGTACGACTAACTACAGTATATTCAGATAAGAGATAGACCGGATGTAAACAAAAGGTTCGGGTGATTTTCACGCTAACGCCGCCGTCTCGACGTAAAACAGGAGCCCTCATTGGTCAATTCGCAATTAAATGCCTATGCCGAGCGGCAGAGCAGTCGTATCAAGGCAGAGTCACATTCAGGTTCAGACGTGTTACGTATGTCGTGTGCATCATTGCAATTTGATATTTCTTTGAACGTTTTCGTTTGTTATCTTATTAAGTTGTTGAGTTTGTCGTTGTTATTGTTATACCTTGTTATTGATTGTTATTGTTATCAACTGCTTGCGCAAAATGCCCAGTAGTACAGATACTGCCGATGAAGTTGTAAACTCCTGTAGTCCACCTAGGAAACGCTCTAAAAAAAGACACCTGAGTGCAGAAATGAAAGAGGTCATTTTGAATATATATAAGATCGAGCGCGAGGAGAACGAGGCATCAACCATCAAAGAAATTGTTGTGAAGGTTTCTCACAAAGTTGGGGTGTGTCGCGCATCAGTGTCACACCTTTTCTGAGCCAATGACCAGTAAACATCGCAAAAGTATTGTTAAATCATTGGATGAAGCTGATAAGCATGCGATTAGGAGGAAAGTGCATGAATTCTTCTTTAGGAATGAAATACCTACTATAGATAAAGTACTGCAGGAGGTAAATGGAGATACAACGTTGCCAAATTTCAAACGATCAACTTTCCATGCGTTACTGAAGCATTTAAATTTCAAATGGAAAAAACGGGGTCGTAATAGTTTATTACTGGATAGAGAAGAAATTGTGCTATGGAGGAGGGATTATTTAACAAAAATTGGGAAATATAGAAATCAAAACAGGAAGATTTATTACCTTGATGAAACGTGGGTAAACGCAGGACACACTACAAGTAAAGTATGGGTTGATGATTCTGTAACTTCATCCAGGAGGGCCTTTCTAGATGGACTGTCCACCGGATTAAAAAATCCAGCAGGTAAATACGAGTAATAGACAGCAATCGGATGTTTTTCAAACCTTGGGAACAAGGTTCTAAACATTAATTCCAGGGGGCAGATAAAACATATTACAAGTAACAAAACTTTTATAACTTTCGATAAAATGCGTGGATGTTTTATTGTCATTTTCATTTGTTAGAACTTTTTTAAGCCATGTTTTTAAGTGTTTTCGATATTTCAATAATTTTTTAATATAATCTTAAAATATGTCGAATATTATAAACTTAAAAAAAGTTACTAAGTTTTATATTGTGTACCGTTCCTAATATTTCTAATCATTTTAATTCATACTTTAAGCTTTATAAAGTTATAATTTGTTAATATTAATATTTGCGCGTATTTCAGGTTCCTGATCATTCATTTTTTAAAGGTTTATAACTTTAAATTAAATTGTGAAGAGCTGAGTAATCATACGATGTTCAATATTCTTTCTTTCAATATGACTAAATAATCCCAATTATAGCAATCTGATACTCATGTCTCAATGTTTTTTCGCTGAATGTGATGAAAACATTTGAAAAAGGTTCGCTTATTGAAATAAATCTACACCAGATAGTACTTCGATTTCCAGGTAAAGGGAAAAGGCTCATTATCTGCCATATTGGCAGTGAGGATGGATTTGTTGTTGACGGTCTGTGGTGCTTTGAGTCTAAGAAAACTGGAGATTACCACGAGGAAATGAATGGCGAATCGTTTGAACAGTGGTTTTCAAAAATTTTACCGAACTTAGAGGAAAACGCAGTAATTGTGTTGGATAATGCGCCTTATCATTCTCGAAGAATGGAGAAGGTCCCAACAACGGCTTCAAGGAAAGTTGATGTTCAAAATTGGCTCCGCTCGAAAAATATCAACTTTGAAGAAGCAATGCTGAAAGTACAATTATTAAGAATTGTCAAGGATCACAAGGCGGAATATCAAAAATACGCCATTGACGAAATGGCAGCAAGTCAAAATAAAACTGTGCTCCGTTTACCTCCATACCATTGCGAGCTCAATCCCATTGAGCTCATATGGGCAGAGGTTAAAAATTATATAGCTAAGCACAATACAACTTTTAAATTTTGTGACCTCAAAGGACTTTTCAAAGAAGCACTAGAATTAATAACAGCGCAAAAATGGGAAAACTGTATTAAGCACGTGAAAGACAAAGTTGAAAATGTGGGAACTGGACAATATTTTAGAGGAAAAAGTCGAGCCATTCATTATTGACGTTGGTGCTTCAGGCAGTAGCGATGATGAAAGCTCATCAAGCTCATCTTTCCAATAAAAGATGTCGTTCATCAAATTCGGTAAGTTATAAGTAATTATAAAGCTACTGTATTTTTTAATTAATTATTGACATTTTTGAACCCATTTTGGCAAAACCTATTCAAGAATCTACTTTCTGACAATGTTCAACCATGCACATTTTTTTACGTTTTGAACGTTTTAATTTGGTTACATATTTACCTAGAAATCAAAAAATATACTAATCAATATTCTAAAAGCAATTTTAAGAGATATACGATTATTTTTAATTTAGGCTAATTTAAACGCCATTTTGAGATTATATTCGACTGTATTTCACCAAACATCAGGCGGCATTCGAAGCTGGAAATCGAAGCGAAAGTTTTGATACTCTTATGTATATTTACATCATTATATATTTCTTACCCCACCCCCACATGATCCTATATGCATCACCAATCGTATACACATCGAATTGTGCTAATTTACTACAAAGTTACACAAAGCAGCATCTACTATCTAAAATATGTACTGCGTGACTCTTAATACGTCCCTGCCGAATGTTACAGCGTTCGATGATCACGTGGTCTTGTTTATGTCCGGTCTATCTCTTATCTGAATATACTGTAGACCCCGTATTTTTCTTAATGCAAAGTACCTATGCTGAGTTAAGCTTACCACATACTCTATGTGTGTTTCCCAGGAAAGTGTTTCGTCCATAGGTGAGTCACATGAGGACCCATACAGGTCACAGGGTTTATTTCCAATAGCAATCTGAAGATTCATATGAAAACTTGTTTCAAATATCCCAAATATTGATGTAGGACAAAATGTGTACTTTTGATTCAAAAATCATCGTCATTTCTTGTGTTTTCTATCAAAATAAATATTTGCAGGTCCGAGATATCTGGGTTAGCGTTTTTTACAAATCCAAGGCTGACCATTTCCAAAAATTCTTGGTCACATACGTTCTGTGGTGATAGTCAGTTTTTCATAGAAATTGTCAGGAGCTATGAAACGTCGTACATAGGATACTGATTTTTTGGGGTAAAAAATCAGGGATTGTGGTAAAGAATGTCTATGGAAAAATTGAATGAGCCCGTCTGACTGACTTGATACAGGGTTTAATTTGTGCTGAACTTAAGAAGTGCAGAAATATCTCACTCGACGCCAATTTTTTATTTTGACATCCCATCTCGATTAAACTCGGGAAAAACTTGAAACGATTTTGGACAAATCCGGAAATACTCCGAATAGCTTTACCATAATTTGGAATAGCTTTTGTTGGTACTGGAACCTCATCGACATCAGAATCTTCGAACAGTTCATGTATTTCAACTGCGAAGATGGCGCACAGCACGATCGAGAAATGCAATAGCGATTACTCTCGACAAAGAAACGTTTCTTTTTATTTTGTTTTTTGTCCGGTTAGGACATGTACATGTATTTCTGATTTGTATGAATGTTATGGTCGTTTTTTGATAACGAAAGCATTGCTTTCACATGCATGTATTACGAACAATACTGTTTTAGGAGAAAAAAATATAAGGCTAGAAAAGGAACAAAAGCAAGTGAGGCAACTAAATCCGATAGGACTATCATCGAAGGTGACATCGAGAACTGTATCAACTTGAATGCCG